ATTAACGAGGGAATATAACCAAGGAAGTTAGATTAGAGAAAGAGAGAGAGAAGGAGGGAGAGGGAGAGAGGTGAGTATGATGCTGTGGAGGCTAAAGTCTATTTGTGTTGGCTATGTAGGGCGTGAAGCTTTCGAGACAGATATGAGGCTAAAGTGGACATTGTTGTGGAGATGCATGATGGGTATTCACACAAGGTGGGAAAATTGAAGTACTAGTCTCTTGATCATCTTGAACAAAAGAAGGTGAATACACCTCGCACAGGATCTGCTGGTAGTCTCGAAAACCGATTAATAAAACGAAGCATTTTTGTGGAGATTTTCATTTTCCATAAAAGTGTGTTTGACGGAGAGATTCGCATGTCGATCTGATGGGAAGATCACCGTTACTACCCGTTTGGCTGGAATACGACATCCTCGCTCGTTCCCGAACTCAGTTCATTTCCATTTGAACTGCTGCAAACGGAAATTCGCAGTAACATTAAACGGTACGAAGAACAACGCAAATCAACCGTCATCTTCTGATGACATTGACCTGCGAATTTCTTCATTAAACAAACTTTTATTGCATATAAAGACATCTACAACCGTTTCATATCATCAGATTAATCGAAACCCGGCTACCTTACCTTATGACAAGTCACATTTGCTTACATAAAAACACACACATATATATGTATGAATGCGAGTTTATATCACAGAGTCTTTCTTCTCGACACGTTAACCACTACGTGTCCGTGGGTCATATTTTACTATATCACATTCTGTGGCGCAATTATCGATGAAGCCGTTATCCTTGAAGATAAGGATGGTGTGGCCTTCTGTATGGTCATTTTTTATTTTTCCTCTTCTACAATCAGATTACATTCATTCACTCTATATGGTAATAAGTTATGAAGAACTGGTTATATTGCCATAGCAATCCCACCAGGCAACCGCATTACTTATATTCGTATTAGAGTAGGGTTTCGAGACTACCAGTAAATCAGTGTAATGAGATGTATTCAC